TCTACCTAGCTCTTCTAACCACCACGCTCTTACTATGGCTCTAATAGCTCTGACCCCAGGGCAACTTTATTTATTAACATAAAATTAAAATAACATTTCAGTACAAATAAAATATCACCACACACCCACATAGGGGAAGCGCTGGAAGATGTAGCTGTTTGCTGTGGAGAGTATTCCCTACCTCAGGGAACTTCAGTTTCTTGCACAGTTCTAGAAGTTGTGGAATCTCATAAAATTATGACTATTTCACAAACAGTATCTTGTGCAGCCATTAGAGATTTACTAGACTGGAACCACTCGGCAATGTGGAGCCTACAGCACTCTGTGACTACCATGGTGTAAGATTCACACAGCTGTTTTCTAACTCCACAGAATATCAGATGTGATTTACCGATTCTTAATTATACATGGATTCATTTTCTTGTTCTAGGGATGGAGTTGGCCTTAATATAAGAGGGTATTATTGAAACTGCTTATTAATATGCACTCTTTTTACTGAAGATATGTTTCACAAGTAGTAAAGTCAGAGTAGAATCTTGATATGATGACACTTATTTGTATTATGTGAATTTGATTCTCCTTTACCTGAAGACCAGTAAACTGGTTGGCATGCAGTGTATTTAATTAGCATATAGCATACTAGATACTGGACAAGATAACATCTACTGGCCTGGCATGGTGTCATCATATGTCTGTAGTACCAGTTTCTTGGCCTATGAGTTCTAAGAAAAGCCTGGGTGGCAATAACATGGTATTTGTTTGTGTGTGTGTTTGCTAGTACACATTCATGCACATATACATGCACGTACATATACCTCCATCACTATTTTCAAGTAAAGTATCAGTTCTTAATAGTAGCATCTGTCATAAAAAATTTTCTGATTTTATGTTCTAATCGTGTACAGATTTTTTTCCTTTTATACATTCCAAATGATTTTCTCTGTATTTTAATTTACTGTAGGCATGCATTGCAAGAAACTGCTATCCTTCTCCTTTGAATTATTATAATTTCCCAAAGTCTTGTTGTACCTCAGTGAATGAAGTCATCTGCCATGGGATTCCAGACAGACGGCCTTTGCAAGAAGGTGATATTGTTAATGGTAAGAAGTAATGTGTGACATTTGTCACTGAGTAAAGAAACAAGTTTTGGGTGTCTATTAGGTGGTTTCTGTTTTCTTGATTTTTCCCTATTTAAAACTCAGTGTCACTCAAAATTGAAGGAACACCACTTTATGTGTTTATTTGTTTGTTTTGAGACAGGGTCTCTTTACAGAGCCCCATTGGTCCTGGAACTCACTATGTAGACCAGCCTGGCTTTGAACTCACAAAATTCTACCTGTCTCTGCCTCCCAGTGCTGGTGGATTTCCTGCCACCAGACTTGGCAGGAAACCCATTTTTAGTGATTGTGTGTATGTGTTGCTTTCAGCATACATTTAGTATGATGTGTTTTATCCAACCTGTATTTCTTCACAGCCTGTTTCACATGTGATTGGTAAGTAGGCAAAAGATGTCAATGCAGAAGTAATATTGGGCCTATTATATAATTTTTTCTTTTACCAAAATTTACTAATGGTTATGAAGAGATCAGGGTAGGTTTTCAGGGAAACCCTTAGTTGTAATTTATAAAGACCTTAAGAAAAGGGAAAAACTCCTGCAGAAGTGCCGTTTTAAAATGGAGTGGCTTTGGACTCTTGTACTCTAATGTTATTGAGCTACAATAACATTTCCCTTTGGGATTGGAAGTATCAGTGAAGATAGCTCCCCTAGAGAAAAGAATCAACAGTTTTACCCAGCTATGAGCCCTGTGAGCTACAGTAAGGCTTGGCAAGAGATGGCCCTGGTGCAATAATAACATGGATGTTGGGGGATAGCCAGCCACTTTCTGATTTAAGAAACCCATGCCTGGTACTGTTAACGGGGCCCAAAAGCCCTGATTGGCTAAGTCCATAGGCTTCAGGGGAGAGTGTGATACTACCATTCTGCTAAAGGACACGGTATTAAGCAGTACCCTAGGTTCTTATCTTTACACCCACAGATCAGTACAGCTCTCAACTCTCATCAGAGAACCTTCTTTTTGTAGTACATGGCAATTCATAAGGAGACTCATAACTATCCAGCATGCAGAGAAATAGATGAGATTTAAGTACTTAGCTCTAAGTGGAACATCTGTATCACACCCCCACCCCCTTATCTCACACCCTGCCAAGGCTCAGGGACCAATTTAGAAGAGGGGGCAGAAAGATCCTGAAGAGTCAGGCTGTAGACATCGGCAGTGAAGCAGCATTTGATGGACATGACGGCTACATACATGAATTCAGAGTACCTGTGACTGAACACACAAGAATTTACGAGGTTATACCACCCAAGATTCTAGCATTGGGTAGAGTGGGGAGGGCTCATGAAGTCCTGCCCTTAGCTGAGGAGCAACAGTGGCTTCTGAGGGAGGGAGAGTCAGGGATGCTACCCATGCTCCAGGAGGTGGTGCTACACCCACGTGTATAGAGGTAGCACTAAGAGGATTTGGTGTGTTCAAAACCAACAGATAAAGTTGGGAATGAAGAGTGGAAGGGATGGGGGTGGATTTGATCACAGCACATTATATTCATATGCTAAATTCTGAATTAAAAATGGTAGGCCTTTCTAGATGTAGTTTGTGTGTGTGTGTGTGTGTGTGTATGTGTATGTGTGTATGTTTCAACACATGTTAAAATGTATATAATGTAAAGCTTGCGCTTGTGTGAGTGTGTTCTTGTATGTGTGTGTGTGTGTGTGTGTGTGCGCGCGCGCGCTCCTGTGCATACTTGTATGGACACCAGAGTTTAACTTCGGATGTTTTCCTCTGTTGCTCTCCACTTTGTTTTTGAGGGCACTCTCACTTAACCTGGAGTTTAACATTTTAACTAGACTAGCTGGCCAATGCACCCCTAGGATCCTCCTGTGTCTGCTCTCTCAAGGCTGGGGTCACAGGCCTGTTTTCCACATTGGACTTTATTTACATGGATGCTGGGGATAGAAACTCAACTCCTCATTAGTGCTCAGAAAACACTTTAACCATCAAGCCATCTCTCCAGGCCCCTACGTGGCAGTTTTATTACTAATGAAATTAGTTTTTCTAGTATTCAAAGAAGCAAAAATCCAAATTAGAGACTACAGATAGAAGAGATTAAATATAATACTGCCTTTATTGTAGTTGTTACTGACTTGCTTAAGATTGTTTATGAACATTTCATAAGTTCTGAGTTCAGCCCTGATTTTCATGTAATATTTAATTATTGTTGTTATTTGTAACAGGGCCTCACTATGTAGCTATTGCTGGCCTTGAACTCAAAGAGCTCTTCCTGACTCTGCCTCCCCAATGTGAGATTAAAGGCATGCACCACCACACCTGGTTAAACCTTGTCTTTTTGTTAAGTGCACAGCATATGGCGACTTTCAGGAATGAATTGTCTACTCTGCAGTGTTGCTGGTGCCCGAAATGTTCCTGTAGCGTAAAGATACTCGTTTAGTGTCTTCTCCAGACAGTCCTGTAGTTAGTGTAGTGACACGGTGGTAATCTAAGTCTGGGATGAAGACGGATGAACACTTACAGATGGATGAAAGACCAGTGGAATTTTTAAAGAAACCTAGAACTAGATAAGCTTTGCTCTTGTGTCCCAGGAAGAGCAAGCTAAAGACAAGTGGAAATGTTTCATGTTTAATTCGGAACTTAGTGAAGTTGGCGGTGCAGTGTTGCTAACCTGGTTATTTGTCTTACACGGCTGTCTTCCGTGTCATAGTTCTTCTGTCACAGAGATCTCATCTCTAGCATAAAAGCCGGCGTCTGTCTGCTGCTGCACGGCCATATTGTTCTCTAGAGCGAGTTCAGTTGAGCTGATTGCCCTAGGGTTTCCCCAGACAGCAGTGCACTCACTGGTGAATTAGCGAACACAGACGGTATGGTTTTCATTTGGTGACAGGAAGCTGCTATGCTTGACTGTAAGATGTAAACAGATATGGGCTTTCTATCTGCCTTTTGTTTTCTTCCAGTGGACATCACTCTTTACCGAAACGGTTATCACGGGGATCTCAATGAGACCTTTTTTGTTGGAGATGTGGATGAAGGAGCACGGAAACTTGTTCAGACGACGTACGAGTGCCTGATGCAAGCCATCGATGCAGGTCAGCCTCAGCCGGTGCGCCCACCCGCATCACGGACCGCCAGTGAGACAGGGCTTCACTGTGTAACAGCCTTAGCTGTGTGAAGAGCTCTAGACCAGGCTGGCCTTCAACTCAGAGATCCCCCTGCCTCTCCCTCCTGAGTGCACCACTACTGCCCAGCCCTGCATTTTTATTTTTATTTGGCTTTTTGGTTGTTTTCACTTGCACTGTGTTCTCCTAGGAAATTAAAACAAGGATAGAGATTTGGGGGGACGAGGTTGGAGCCTCCTTTATGATTCCCCCCCCCCTTTGCTTCTTCCAGTATTCTTGGTGTTTGGAGTCTTTCTCTCTCTTTCCGCTGTGTGTTAAGGCATATACAGGTAGTGTATGTGCTTAATTAGGTTAGAATCATAGAAACATTCTAATTTGCTATTTTTTCAACTAATACCTTTTTTTTTTTTTTTTTTTTTTTTTTTATAATGTCCTTGAGTTTATTTTTTTTTTTTTTTGTTTTTTTCGAGACAGGGTTTCTCTGTGTAGCTTTGGAGCCTGTCCTGGAACTCATATATGCTCTGTAGACCAGGCTGGCCTTGAACTCATAGAGATCTGACTGCCTCTGCCTCCCAAGGGCTAGGGTTAAAGGCATGTGTGCGCCACCACCGCCCGACTTCAACTAATATCTTAGAAGATTCTTCCAGATTAGTTTTGTGCCTGCATATATATAGATGTACCTCCTTTAGAGTGATTTTGAAAATCACGTTTATGTATGTGTGCACATAGGCACATAAACCATTGCGTGCTTGTGGGGGTCAGAGGACAACTTCCGGGTGTTGGTTTGCTACTGTTGGATTCTGAGAGTGGAACTCAGGTCATGGGGCTCGTCAGCAAGTGCTCTTCTGCAGTGGGGAGTTGATGCCGGTCTGTGCATGCTAGGCAAGCCCTTAACCCCTGAGTCGGGTCACCAGCCCTTGGTTCGTTATTGGTATTATTTTTCTTATCTCATTGTTTTAGTTTCTTAGTATTAGAGTTTCATAGCTGTTATGGACATTGGTGGTTTCCTCTATTACATTATTGCATATAAGTGCATTTCTCTAGGATTTTTTTCAGGCTGTCTTTGTTCATACAAATGACTTGTTCATGCCTTTTTATCTTGTTTATGGGAATGGCAGGGCAGGAAGGGCTTGTGTTTGAGACTACTAATAAAAGCATAGGTTGGGAGCAATTTTCCAGAAAGTTCCACAGCATTTGCATTTTTACATCCATTGTGTTATCCTTCTTACTACACGATTCCCACCAAAACCCTGACTTGTCATCAGCGGAGTACTAAACAGAGAGAATTTTCTTTTTATTTTGGTTTGGCTTTTTGAGACAGGGTTTTTCTGTGTAGCCCTGGCTGTCCTGGAACTTGCTTTGTAGACTAGGCTGGCTTCAAACTCATAGAGATCCACCTGTCTCTGCCTTGTGAGCGCTAGTATTAGAGATGTGTGCTACCACTGCCAGGCCAGAGTGGAATTCTTAAAGAATGCATGGTTAAGTCTAATAACATTGACCTATTTTTACTGTTTCAGTGTACTGTTTGAGATACAAGAAAAGCTTTTACTGATTTACATAAAGGCTGCATGGGTTAAAATGGAAATGATAAGTTATTAGTGTGGGAAGTTCCCCTCACCCTACGTTTAGTTACTGTGAAATAAAAATACTTCAAAATTGAGGTGGTATTGCAGTAAGATCCGAACTTTGGTGTTCTCGTTTGTGAGAGCTCCAATTTTCAATTATTTTTAACGTTTTTACCCAAATAATTTGTGTAGTGTTTCTTTCGCTTGCCTCTGTGACATGACTGATATGACCAGGCACATGGAGTGCTGTACAGTGATACATGGCTAGACCTTGGCAAGTGACCGGAGACTGACCAGCATAGCGGTAGTCAGGAAGAACAGAGGTGTTGACTCTGGAGGTGGTTACACCACCTGTGAAAACGTGATGTTACTGCTTGCCCTGGCGGCACAAGCTGGAATGCTGTAGAGAAGATAAGCAAGATCTTAGCACACAAATGGAGGAAATGTTGCCATATTTTAAAGAAAAATCCAGCAATGTTTGCAACAGTTAAAAACCAACTGCCCTCCCCAGTGTAGAGCATAGAAAGCTTGAAATATTATTAAAATTTCTAGAGTAGAAATCTTGGGTGTATCTATTAATGGCACTTTGAGTCTAGTAATACTTTAAGATGTTTAATTGTATTTCTGGTGCCTATCTACTGGATAATATACCAACCCTTTTCCCTGTGTGACCAAAAATGACTCCAGATAAGACCCTTGGGATCAAGGTTGTCCCCAGTTGGATATTTGGGGAAGAATCCATCTTGATTCCTCTGCCATTATTGTTGAATGAGGACTTCTTCCATGATGTATTGTGCACTGTGGCTTGAAATTTTGTGGTATGCCTGCTATGTCCCCAAGACTGATAAGTTCTTGATGGGACTGAAAAAAGATGACTGGTAAAGTTACTGTGGTGGTTTCTCAAAACTCAGATGTTGATGAAAATGTCCTCTGGCTGGCTAGTTATCCTTTAGGGGAAGTTTCACTGAAACCTTTGGATGAGGTACTTAGTGAGCTGAAGAAGAGACTGGGGGCATCAGAGGACCCACAGACACATGCTGGGTTCTCCGAGAGTCCGGAGTTCTGGGGTCTGAGTGCCACACAACTCTAATAGCAGTGACAATAAGTCCTTGATTTCATGGGGCCAGTGCTGAAACTCAGATACAAAGCAGACTAGTAAGAATAGCTTGCGGAACACCTTTCCAGACCCTGGGCTTTTTGCAAAGGCAGCTGTGCAGTCTGAGAACCAGTATGGGAATGAAGAATCGGGTAAATGATTGGACTGAAACCTGGGAAAGTTGCTATCTGGACATTTCTTTTTCTCCTGTTGTACCTCACTCTCTCTCTTGAAACGCTTTGCAGTTGTTTGGTATTTATTGTGTGCATGTGTATATGCTAGGCTCAGTACTCTCCTACCATGTGGTTCCTGGGGATCGAACCCAGTCTCAGGATTGGTGGCAAACACTTTCACTGGCTGAGTCATCTCACTACTTCATTCTCTCCTGTCTTCTGCTCTGGAATGGAGTGGAACAAAACATTCGTCCCTTAGTGTGGTGGCTGTCAACCTGACTACATCTGGAGTTAGCTAAAACCCAAATGGCTGAGCACACCAGTGAGGGATTTTTTTCTTAAATCAATCGTTTGAAGTGGGAAGACCCACATCTAATCCAGATCTTTGAGGTGGGAAGATCCATCTTTAATCCGGGCCACACCTCTGCTGGTAGCCAGTGTAAACATGGAAGAGAGTTACTTACTTGTTCTCGCTCTCCCTGGCAAGTCCACTCCTTCGCCGGCGTTAGAGCCTCCTACTTTGGGATTCTGGTATATACTGAAGACCAGCTCAGACATCCAACCTCATGGACTGAACAGCTAGTGGGTTCTTGGACCTTTTGTTGGTAGATAGTTATTGTTGGACTAGCTGGACATAACTTGTTAACTGTTCTAATAAGTCCCTCCCATATATATATATATAATTTCAATGTATATTATTTAATATAATACATATTAATTTTTCATATTTCAAAAAATGCATTTTTTTCATTCTATAAGTTCTGTTTCTCTAGAGAACCCTGATACCCTTAGGGAAAGAGGATGAAAAAATGTGTTTTCCATTCTCTTGTTTAGTGATTGTTCTTAGAGGAAATAGAAGGTGCTTTTTTTGACCCCTGGGTATTCTGCATGGTCTTCTCCCTGTTTTTGCGTTAAGGAAGTTGCTCCTGTTTTGGAGTCAGCTCTGTCTTTTTCTGGCTCTCTGCATTTTCCTGTGCCTTCATTTCCTCCCACGTGCTCAGGCATCAAGGCATGTGTGTACAAAGTGCTTGCTACACGGAAACCAACTGCTCACCTAAGTGCTGCTCTTCCTCATGGGTTTTCCTCTCTTTCAGTGAAGCCTGGTGTGCGATACAGAGAGCTGGGAAACATCATTCAGAGACACGCCCAAGCAAATGGATTTTCAGTTGTTCGGAGCTATTGTGGGCATGGAATCCACAAACTTTTCCATACAGCCCCTAATGTACCACATTATGCCAGTGAGTACTGTCCAAATACCTGGTTATTTCTACTTATGAACAAATACTCAAGTGTAAGTCAGGGCCTCCTGATTTGTATTCACTGAAGTGATGTATTAGCTATGAGTAGCCTTTCCCTCCCAGTTTTACTTGTTCAAACATAAGTCAAGTTAAAGTCTGTCTCACATGGTAGTCTGCAGGAGGTTTGTGGACTAAGGCATTGTGTTTCAGAGATCTTTTCTCTAGAAGATTAACTATTAGCAGGAGTGCATCTGTTATTTAGTGTTAGAAGTGAAAGTGAGCAACAGAAGGAATCTAATGCACATGACTGTATGCACTTAGACACATTTCTTCCTCTCTTTCTGAACTTTCATGTAAACACTCAGTAAAGTCTTTGTGTTGATTTTTCTCACCCTACAGTAGTAGGGATTGATGATATTCTGGAGTTGTTAGGATTGAGTTGATACCTGGAAACACTTAGAGTTCTGCCTGACATTCATACATAAAAAGTGACCTGGTGTTTTAGAATGATAGTGATGGTTATATGCAGTATCTCATTTGATTGTCACATCTCTAAATCATTTCTCATCTTTGTTTATTATTATTCCAGTATTGGATCGAACCCAGGACCTTGTGCCTGCTAGGCAAGTGCTACCACTGAGCTATATATCCTCAGCCTTTTCTAGCCCTACTTTTAAAAGCAGATTATGTGCTCACCGTTGGTTTGCTCAGAATTACACAGTTTAGTGAACAATGCCAGAGCTGACCTTTGGGTTCTGCTGACTCTGGATTCAGTCTTTTTACCTGTATTTAGTACTCTTACAGTAAGGACTGAAGCACTTGGTCACTGGGTCCTGGAGAGTAACTAAAGCATGCCAGAGATTTCTGTCTAGTGGATGAGATGGGAAAGCATTGCAGGTGGAGGAGACCTGAATAGATGTTCCAAGTTGAGACCCAGGCTAAGCTTGTCTAGAGGTTTCTTTTGAAGGCTGGGAACACCTGTCTGAGGAAGAGAAGATGGCAGATTCTGAGTGTTCGTGTTAGAATCTTTAGAAATAGTTTTGGGCGAGCACTGTTATCTAGATAGGACATAGCAGTTGAAATGGTGAACACACAGCCACTGTGACTGCTCACATGGCTCTGAGGAGGAAAGGAAAAGAGAAACAAGGGTAGCGGGGTGGGGGTGGGGCTGGTTGGGGAGAAGGAAGAGGGTGGAGTGGAGGAGGTGGGAGAGGGTAGTGGGGCCGAATGGGGTCACAAGTGTGATGCAAGCCACCGATGACAGAGTCAGAAAGGAAACGAATGGACACAGGCACGTGCGTAAATGAGTGCCATAGATCTGGTAGTTTGGGGAGACGGAATGGACAGTAGTGTCTCGGTTATATTGTGCCGAAAGCTGATCAAGATAACTGGTCTCATGGGCAGTGATGTTGTGGGCTGCTATGTCCTAGGTCTGTGCCTGTGAAGAGGAAGTAAATGAGCGTGAAGCCCCTGGCAGGGGAAGCTGGAGTGGTGCTGTGGTACAGCATGCAGGGTATCGGTGAGCACTCACTAGCAGACCACGTCATTCTGTGAGCTGTGATGTTAGGAGAAAGGAAGAGAAAGAAAGAAGACAAGACACTAGCATTAGAAAACATATAGCAACTCTATTGGTGTATGTTAAACCCTGACGTAACCTGAGTGTCCATCCATTCACAAAACTCACATGCTGTTGTCATCACCAGGGCCAGGTGTATAAGAGACTGCAGAGAGGGAGTGAATTCTTTCCAGGTGCAGAGGCAATAAGCCAGTACAAGTCTAGACTGGGGAGACTGAAGACAGTGGTATTTGTGGGAGGAGAGGTGTGTGAGTCATTAGTGGTGATATACCAGAGACCCTAAGTTTCATATTAAAGCATTTACTTAAATATAAAAAAGAAAACATGGCCAGGTGGTGGTGGCGCATGCCTTTAATCCCACCACTGGGGAGGCAGAGCCAGGCAGATCTCTGTGAGTTCGAGGCCAGCCTAGTCTATAAAGCGAGATCCAGAAAAGGTGCAAAGCTACACAGAGAAACCTTGTCTCCAATAAATAAACAATAAACAAACAAACAATAAATAAAAATAAATAAATAAAAACAAACAAATAAATAAAAACATGGCTAGAGACATGTTTCAATGATTAAGAGCACTGGCTACTTTTTCAGAGGACCCAGATTGGATTCCTAGCACCTACATGACAGTTGATTAACTCCATAATTCCAGGTTCAGGGAATTTGATGCCCTCTTCTGGCCTCTGCAATCACCCAGCACACCAAGCACACAGAGTAGGCACAGATTCTTACTTTGTTTTATTTTATTTTTTGGAGACAGGGTCTCAACTGTGTATCACTGGCTGTTCTAGAACTCACTATGTAGACCAGGCTGCCTTCAGAGATCTGCCTGCCACTGCCTCCAAGTGCTGGGATTAAAGATAGGTGACTCTACACCCGGCTCAAATTTTTAAAATTTACCTGGGAGTAGGGCAACTAACTGACTCCTCAGATAACCTGTGTTTGTTGATTTTTGTTGTTGTTGTTTTTTTGTTGTTTGTTTTTCGTGACAGGGTTTCTCTGTGTAGTTTTGTTGCCTGTCCTGGATCTTACTCTGTAGACCAGGCTGGCCTCGAACTTCCAGAGATCTGCCTGGTTCTGCCTCCCAAGTGCTGGGGTTAAAGGTGTGCACCACCACCACCCAGCAACCTGTGTTTGTTGAGTGAGTTGTTAGAGAAACGAAAACCTTCTGTGACATGAATAGTAGAAGTTACAGTTCTTTAAGTGAACAATGGATGAGAGGCAGAAACAGGACTGGAGGTAGATTTTCTGTTAGCTCCATCTAATAGCAAGTGATCTGAGCTGCAGAGTGTTTTAACACTTCTAGTAGTTGTATTAAAAAGTAATCAGTGGGATTTAATTCTTTACCCTTTGAATCCATTATACTTTCTATCTCCCAACATTTAATTAGTATAAGAGTTATTGAGATACATAATACCTACTGTTTTAGTTTTTAATTTTTCAGTCGTTTTGTTTTTGTTTTACATTAAAAACCCATCTATTGCCGTGGCAGCATCAGACAGCACAGCTCTAGATCCCTGCATCCCTTTTATTCTCTGTGACACCACACAAGAATTCTTAGCATTTTCTCTTACTCCCTGTAAATCAGGCCATTTCGAGAGAAAGTTCATGAAATTAGAAATGAAAAACTTAATTCTTATAGTTCTTAGTTGATTTATTCTTCCAAGGGTTCACATGAGTTTAAAAACAGGATTTGCAGTGAGTATACTTTGGGAAGCCTAAGGTAGAGGGGAGCAGTATGGCTGGCTGTATCCCAGGAGGGGGCTGGAATGGAAGTGTGTAGATGAGGCTCCATCACACCTTGTCCACCCAGCTGGAGTAGATACAACAGCCATCCCGCTGAGATGGATGTGTGTGTAGCTGGAGGGTTTCTCTGCAGGTCCCGCCAAGCCCCCGCAGTCCCGCAGTCCACTTATAAAATAATCACTCAGAAGCTTATATTGCTTACAAACTGTATGGCCATGGCAGGCTTCTTGCTCTCTAGTTCTTATATCTTAAATTAACCTATTTCTATTCATCTATAAGTTGCCACATAGCTTGTGGCTTACCGGTATCTTAACATCTACTTCTCATGGCGGCGGCTGGCAGTAATATAAATCTCTGTGTGTTCACTTGACGGAGGGACTAAGGGTGAGAGAGATTTGTCTTGACCGTGGGCCAGGCAGGACCAGGAAAACTTCAGCTACTTGGATGCCTTTGACAGGAAAGAGAACCTTGGAGCAGCTGACGTATTTGCCCTCTGGTGGCCAGCCTGAGCAAATGCCATGTTCATTTAGCTGATAAATTTATCACCTTGTATGCTTTAAATTTTAAAATTTAAACCTATGCTCCATATTAGTCAGGATCTTCTGAAAAGACTGTTCCTTGGAGACGAAGCAGCTGGGTATCCTTAATCATGTCTCATGGTGGTCCTGAAAAATATTATTTGTGAACTTGACCACAGGCCAAATATTTATAGAGTGTGAAATGCAATTTGTTTTCAGATAGAAAGAAATGTCTCCTCATCACTTAAACAAATTGTCTACTATGCAGTTTTATTTCCATTTGAGAGTGAGGTAAAAGATTCCTTACAAACCTTTCTGAAAGTTGTGTATTTGTTTCTATAGTGTGTGTTCCATTATATATAAACATACTCCCCTTCCTCAAAGAAGTGAGAGGCTTCTGATATGTGACACAAATGTCACTCAAACTTCCGAAAGTGGATGGGTGATGGGTAATGGCATTCTGTTTGACAACCAACAAACACATCCCTCACACACTTGCGGAGTTCTGGGAATTACAGTATGCTCCATCACATCCAGCAGTAATTGCCTTTTCTAGTCTGTATTAACATCAAGACTGCTTTTCCTCAATGGTGATTGAATCTGAAGCCTAGCCTGTGGACACTTCTGTATTTTATCTTAGATAGCATAAGTCTGGAATAAAATCTTCCTGCAGACAGGTGGTTACTGGTGATGGCCTCTGTGCTGAATGACAGACTGTGAGGAATTGGGAGAGTAATGAAGAGAACTGCAGGAAATGTCAGTCCCATGTTCCTGCAAGCTGTTCAGTTCAATGCTGTTGAGTTTTGGTGTCTTTTGAGACTTTCTTTTAATTTCAGAAAATAAGGCAGTTGGAGTGATGAAGTCGGGCCACGTGTTTACAATTGAGCCAATGATTTGTGAAGGTGAGTGTGAGTGTTCCTATACTCTATTTGTAACTTTTTTCTTTTAAATTTTTATGTCTTTAGTTTTTGCAGGTGCACACATAGTATGTAGAGGGCAGACAATGAGTGGGGATTGGTTCTCTACCATGTGTGGTCTGGGAACCAAATTTAGGTTGTCCGGCTGGTGGCAAGCACCCTTATCTGCTGATGCACCAGACCTTGTAACATTTGTTGAATTTTTATTTATTTTTGTTACCCATCAATCAGTAGCTGGTTCTGCTTGCTTTCTTTTGCTTTGTTCTCTGTTACATCTTGATTGGTAGTGTGTAGAAAATTGACCATCTAAGGATTTCTAAGAAGATACTGTCTACATGATAATTCTTCTGCTGTCAGTAAATATAAAGTACCTGCCTGTGGTCCCTATTCATCACGATCTTAGTCAAAGGATGAGTTGTTATACAAGTTAATTCCAGCTAATGAAGAAGGCATCAGAAGAGTAAACAGATCCTTGAAGAGTAACTTGCCCAGGGCACGTAGCTGCTTATGTGGGTAAATTTGCCAAACTGATGAGCCATCTAGTCCTTCAGTCAACATTCACACCTTGTGGTTTCATGCAGCATCACAAGGAAGCACCTCACAGACGCTGGTCTCTGGTGGCCATTTCCTGTGACCTCTGCTGCACGATGGGTTCTTTGTTGGGAGCATTTCCCAGATTATAACTGGGAAGTACTTCTGCCAGCTCACTGGGTTAAGCAGTGCAGCAGGTCAGTGCTGTTGGCTAGTTTCCAGATCTTCCAGGTGTGAATACAGTGTACTTCAGTGACCAGAGGTCAACCTCTCACGTTCTGTTTCTCTGGAGCCATCCACTTTGTTTTTGAAGTAAGTCTCCCACTGGGACATGGGCTTGCCAATTAGCTTAGGCTGGCCGCCAGGAGCCCCAGGGGAGCTGTCGTCTGTGTCAAACTCCCCAGAGCCTAGCGTTCTGCACAGGTGCTGGGTATCACACCCAGGCCTCATGCTTTTAAGGCAGGTGATTTGTCAACTGGGCCATCTCCTCAGCCCTCTATTTTCCTTAGCCCTCAAAAAACCTACTTTCTCAGGCTGGATGATGGTGGCACAGGCCTTTAATCCCAGCACTCTGGAGGCAGAGGCAGGCTGTTCTCTGAGTTCCAGGCCAACCTAGTCTACAGAGCGAGATCCAGGGCAACCAGGGCTACACAGAGAAACCGTGTCTTAAAAAACAAAAACAAAAATCCCCACAGACTCCTATTTCTTTTACCCCTCTTTCTCTGGTTATAAGGATTTCATATTATAATCTTGTCACCAGCTATTTACAGTTGCATCAGGAGTGACATGCCGTAACAGTGCAGGAACTCGTCGTGTTCACTTGTGCACTGGGGGAGTTCAGTCCATTAATCTGGAAAGTTGACAGCTCAAGTTTCTGCTCAGTTCTTTGGGGGTGGGGACTAGTTTCCATGTGTTTGCTGAATTGAAGTCTGATGCCTTTATTTTGGAAATGCCACCTTGATTTGATAATGAGGAATAGAGAAATTGTCAAATTGCTACACATAGGAGGAAAACTAGACATGGTTCATGAGTGCTGCAGATGGGAATGGAAGTGGAAAGGCTTTACCTAAAAAGCTTCTAAAGCATTAAGAGGGTCTTGAGAGTGCCTATTTACTCTTTTTAAAAAAAAAAAAAAAATTTTTTTTTGAGACAGGTTTTTTCTGTGTAATATACCTGGCTGTTCTGGAACTCACTCTGTAGACTAGGCTGTCCTTGAACTCACGGAGACTCACCTGCCTCTGCCTCCTGAGTGCTGGCATTAAAGGCGTGTGCCACCGCTGGGCTGTTTCCTTTCTTAATACATACTTACCTAGAGACGGTTTAGAAATGTGAATGACAAATTTAAGTAACTGTTTTTGCTTGTTTAAGGTGGATGGCAGGATGAAACCTGGCCAGATGGTTGGACTGCAGTGACGAGGGACGGAAAGCGATCCGCTCAGTTTGAGCACACTCTGCTGGTCACGGACGCTGGCTGTGAAATTCTCACCCGAAGACTTGATAGCTCTCGACCTCATTTCATGTCCCAGTTTTAATTTCTCTCAAGATGCCTAAAAGTCTGAACACCATCTTGTACTGTGCATTTTACTGAAAGTACAGAAATGAGGAGCTTTTAAAAAAATCACTCATTTTGTTTTGACTGTGGATAAGAAAGGACTACGGCATTTGGTGTGTGTCCTCAAAAGCTTTCTTTGGGGTCTGAAAAAGCTGAGAAGAATAAAGGAAACATTGCTTACTTCCTTCAGTCCCTGGCCTCACCCCCTCCGTTCTCTGTATTGTGTTTTCTTCTTTGTTCCTTGAGCATTTGACCCTAAGTCTGCTTCTCATTGCTTTGTCACTGCCACAGACCAGCCGCCCAGGGCCAGCTTTTGTCCAGAATGGTGAAGATGAGAAATCTTGAAACTCTAGCAACACGTTGTTCCAGATTTTTTATTATATATTGATATATATGGAAATATATATGCATACATTTTAAATTCCATATACGTAATTACGAACACTCTATGACCTTTGGTTGGGTTGATTCTGCTTTGACAGGATATCTGCTATCATAAATGGATCCATAATTTGTTAGTGATTGATTCCTGTTGGGAATTGGCCTCCTCTCACCCTCATGCTAATTATTTACCCTTGTCTGTGTGCAGGGAAGACTCCTGCAGTGTGCACGGTCAGTGAATGAAAGGTGCTCAGACTTCGTGAGGTCTGGTACGGTAGAAATAGCTGTGCTGCAGGTGGTGGCTGGCAGCTGCAGTCATTTCACAGTCCTCTGCAAGTGTGAGGTCAGAAACCCCTTTTCTTCAGAACCCTTCTGTTGTAAGGTATACCTCTGAAGAACTTGGAAGAGTGGCAGTTGTCCTGTGGCAGATGATGGGAGAAAGAATTCCAAATGTCTCCAGGCCTGTGCAGAGTCACGGTGGCTGTGAGAGTTTACTTTAGTTTAGTAAACAGCAGTGAGAGCTAAGTGCTCAGTGGGGATGCTGCTCTCCTGTATTGCAATTGTACCTCCCCTGTGTAGTTGAGAGCCTCATCAGAACTGACCCTGGTCCCCAGAATCTGTGCTCTTCGGTTGTCCAGATACAGGTGTATGCAGTGGAGACACACCAGATCACAAAGTTGTCATGAGAGTGAGTATCCTTGATTACTGGGTATCTCATGACTTTGTTGTATATGATTTGATACCAGTGACACATACTTTTAAGACATCATCTTTTCCAGAGTGCCTCAGACCTTATTGCTTTAAGAGAATGATAATGCTTTCATGACTTTAATGATTTAGTAAAGTGATTGAATCTGGTATAGACTTCTGGGTGTGTGTGTGTGTGTGTGTGTGTGTGTGTTTAAAGTTTTTATTAAACTGTAATATTTGTGAATGGAATGCCTTGTAATATGAATGTTAATATAATATGTAAAGGGGAGATTAAAAGTTTGAATGATTATCCCACTTACTGTAGTTGCATTTGTTGGGATTTCAGAGGGAATTGATGGGAATGAGGCTAATTCATAATCTAAACTGAATTCATGACCATTGGAGCACACACCTTTTCAGGTATAATATTGTTCCATAATTGCATGTTGTTTGAGGTGTAGCTATATTGTGAGAGCTTTTAAAGCCAAGAGTATGGCATATTTAGAGGAACAGTTTGTATTCTTACAGAGTTGATAAACTGGGGATGGTGTTCAATCTATACAAGTAGAAAATAAAGCTTCAGAACAAAATCTTGGGATAGGTTTGTGAGATCAGACATGCTGGTAGGAATGCTTTCCTTGGTTTGATTTAAAACAAAACAATGTTGACTCTAGTTATATATCTCCAATTAAAAATGATTGATTTAGTGTACAAAGCATCCACTTTCATCATTGTACAACCACTAGTTAATTTTGGTCAGTACTGGGATTGAACTGGTGGCCTTGTATATAGTAGGCAAGTGCTCTTCTACTTTGCTGCAACATCCACAGGTTAACTTGTAAGATGGTTGTTCTTTTTTATCCTGTCTTGTACTTCTGTAGTTATAATCCAGAAAAGAAAACATGTCTGCCCTTGGTACTAGTGCTTTTTTTTGCTGCTGACAACACTCAACAAAAGCAACCTAGGAGAAGATTTATTTGGGCTTATAGGTTAAAGGGACATGGTGTATCTTGGAAGAATGGTGTTTTCCTGTGTCCTGTAGCCATTCAGTCCCAAATAAACACACAGAGGCTTATATTTATTATAAACTGTTTGGTCTATGGCCCAGGCTTATTACTAACTAGCTCACTCATTTTAACTTAACTCATTTCTATTATCTGTGTATCGCCCCGTGTCTCATGGCTTTACTTGAGTTCCATTACATCTTGCTTCTCAGGCAGCAGCTTGCAGCATCTCCTCTGACTCCACCTTTCTTTTCCCTGTATCTCTCTTGGATTTCCCACCTGGCTGCCTCCTGTCTTGCCATAGGTAAAAGCAGCTTCTTTATTAACCAATGGTAGCAGCATATATTCACAGCATACAGAAAGACCATCTCATAGCAGAATGGCGTCCTGGTAGAGCATCAAGCTTGTGTCCTCAGGAAGCAGATGAGATTATGCTGGTGCTTGGCTTGCTTCTTCCTTTTCCTCTTTGTGTTTAGTCCAGTACCTTAGCCCATATGATGTTGCCATTTACATTCAGCATGGGTCTTCTCTCCTCAGTTAAAACTCTATGGAAGCACTCCAGACACTCCCGTAAGTGTGTCTTCTAGGTGACTCCAAATCTAGTTATTAATGAAAATAAATGATTACATTCCTTATCTTTGTTTTGTACTTTTGTGGATAAGCAGTTTAGAACTCTTTCACCAGCATGTATAATGCTTGTCTCCCATGTGTTTTAAATTATAGACTTAAGGCTGGGGATTTGCTATTCTTACTGTCTTCTAAATCACTTCTGGTTTGGTTGAAATGGACAGCACCATGCTCTACAAAAGTAGATAAACACCCATGGTGTATGTAAATGAGCTATATCTTTAAAATGTTTATTCTTGGACTAGAGAGATGGCTTAGTAAAAGTGTACTGGCTTGATGCACAGTTGTGAGCACCAGAGTTGTGATCCCAGCACCCATGTCAAAGCCAGGTGTGTCCCCACACATGCCTGTAATCTCAGTAGTAAGCATTACCTGAAAACCAGGGGCTCTAGGCTCAGTGAGATGCCGCCTCAAAGGAACAAAGCAGAGTGGTAAAGAGGGATTCCTATTTTCTTTAGTCTCAGTGTATGTGTGTACTTCTACACACCACACCTTACAGAAAATAAAATCTGATGTTTTGAAAATTTTATAGGAAAGTTCAAAGTATAGTGGAGTGAAATATTTGTTACCTATATCCAACTGTAGAAATTTTGCCACCTTTGCTTCATATGTCTGTCTACGTTATATACTTGGTCCTGGGATTGAACCCAGGGCTTTGTACACAAGAAAAGGGTATTATATATACTTGGCCTGTTACTACTTCAACCCATATTTCTTTAAGGATGTTTGTTCCAGGAGTATAGCTCATTGATAGAGTGCTTAACTAGCACACACGGCTTTGCAGTTTCTCAGTACCCACATCCCAGGAAAGGATTCTACATGATCATAATGTAATTGTTATACCAATGAAGTTTTAACGTTGCATAATAAATGTATATACAGACTCAGTTTCCCCCAAGGTTCTTCTGTGCACCCCACCCTGTCTGTTATGGAGCAGTGCTTGTCTTTGTTCTAGAATAACTCCCCTGCCCTTTTAGGGTTTTAGGAAATGAACACTAGAAAAATTGTGTCAGTTGCATATAAAAGTCTAATTCTCATGAGGATATGCTGAGGAGAAATATTTTGACAGACTTTATAGACATCACATTGCATTCATTATGGCCTATGAGTTGTCATAGGATTCCAGTGTGCTTGATCACTTCGTGTCTGTTCCCATCCTTGTGAATTTTTTAAACAAGTAGATTGGGAGCTACTTGAGGCAATATGGATATCATGTTCACACACTGATTTTAGCATTCCAGCATTTCCTTGTATTTGCCCTGCAAGTTCGATTTCCCAAATCTAGTATTCTGTTTATACTGACATATTACAAAGAAGCACTTCTCAAATGTATCATCCCTCTACATTTATTAGTTGCAAGTCCACTGCTCCTCCCTTAGCAAGCCCCTCAACTCCAACTTGAATGTCACTATCAGCTCATAGATTCTTTTGTTGAAAGGGTCAGGGCAGGTTGGAGACAGGCTTTGTGTAGCCTTGGCTGTCCTGGAACTTGCTCTGACTCACAGAGATCTGCCTTCCTCTGCTGGGATTAAAGGCACATGCCACCACTGCCAGGCTAGATTTTTACTTGATAAATTTTTTATTGAGAATTTGATACAATGTATTTTGGATCATATCCCTTCCCTCTCCCACCTCCTCACAGATCACCCAACTTTGTGTTTTCATCGAGTCCAATTTGTGTTGCCCAGCTGCTCAGAGTGGAGGCCTGCCCTAGAATGTGACCCCAGGGATTGCTCCCTAAGAGCTCCTCATTTTGTGCTCTCTCCTGTCTTCATGCTGGGACTCTGACTTGATCACACGCAGTTCTTGTGTGCATTGTCACAAACTACAAGTTCCTATGTGCAGCTTCTAGGTTGTATCTGGAAAAGTTTGCTTGAAATCACCACCACCCATGGCTCTTACAGTCTTTCTGTCCCCTCTTCCACAAAGATCTGAGCTTCGGGCGGTGGTGGCGCATGCCTTTAATCCCAGCACTTGGGAGGCAGA